CTTTTAAACTCTGCCCTGAGAGACAGGTCTTCATTTAGAAGACGCCTCATGATGAAAGCCGAGTTCCTTCGGAAGTCAAGAGGCCGATGCCCCTTCTGACATCCAGTGCAAGCATTTATTTAGGTACATACGAGGATTGGCGACATATATATCGATAGCAATCAGAAACGATCCAAGTGAAGTCAGATATAGGATCATTAAAAGTGGCGAGCTTTACTACGAATTCAACTCAGCAAATTAATGTTAGATAATAACACCGTTGTGTTCTGGCTTAGTGAACTGAAGATTAGTTTGCGCGCAAGACCAAATGTCCTATGCTTGATTCCTATGTGCGGAGTAGTAGATGCTCATTGCTGACTTTTCCTATATCAAGATGACTATCCTATTCTGTGCTTCTAGGTTTTCAATTATATTAAGGCTGAGATCATTACAACAAAACTAACCTGACAATCATGATGATTTCATCCAATCTATTTAGGTATAAAATGATTTCACAATCTAAGAGAGTTTGGTTAGTAAAATGCACGAAATACATTGTTTACATGTGTATTGTAGTTTAACGATACCATATGATAAAGAAAAGAAAATATTCTATTCATTACCTGTGTAACTTCAGCCTTTTCAATACGTTTCAATAATCTTTCAACTCTTTTCTCTGGAAGTATAGCACGTCCTCGACGAGTCACTAAACTGCTTATAATCTTTGGTACTCATTCATCAAAATCACATTTGTTTGTATGATCTGTTAAATACTGAAATAATAATAATAAGAAAATAAATGATCAACAATATACAATGATGATTAGTCATATTGTTATAACATCTTTCTGTATAATCATTGGTACCAATGAAAATAGAACTATGTTTCTATCATTGAAAACCTGGTGGTGATCTAACATCGATCGGTTCATGATCTCAATCTAAAAACTTAATAATTTCCGCAATCCCATACTAACATTTACCATGTGCTCACCAGTGACTAGCTTTGTGAGGAAATTCTTGAAGTTCTAGTGAGAAGCCATGATCAGTGGAGCTAAACCGTATCGGGTAGAGACAGGTATCTACCTCAGTACAGTGGAAGATGGTCACGCAATTTCATGGATTGGTTGAAGTTAGACATTAACACCGCTGGATGCCGGCCAACTCAGTGGTCTAGAGGTTAAGCGTTCACGCGCGAGACTGAAGGTCCTAGATTCTAGTCCCACGTTGAAAGATTTGCTGTATTGATGTGAATAATGAAAAATAATTGTGCGTTTAATCTATGGTGTGTAAATCGTCGACAACTGTCTATTTTGAGATTGATATCAAGGTTAGTATATGACTTATATCTTCTGGAACATCCATACAATTTATAGTAATTCCCTACATTTTAGTTAACGTTTCTTGAAACTTTGAAATAGACTCAAATCCCTATGATGTATGAATTTATTAAAAGTAATTAGATGGTACTTACTTACTTACTTACTTACTTACGCCTGTTACTCCCAATGGAGCATAGGCCGCTGACCAGCATTCTCCAACCCACTCTGTCCTGGGCCTTCTTTTCTAGTTCCATCCAATTCTTGTTCATTTTTCTCATGTCTATCTCCATTTCTCGGCGTAATGTGTTCTTTGGTCTTCCTCTTTTCCTTTGACCTTCAGGATTCCATGTGAGGGCTTGTCTTGTGACGCAGTTGGGTGCTTTCCTCAATGTGTGTCCTATCCACTTCCAGCGCTTCTTCCTGATTTCTTCCTCCGCTGGGATCTGGTTTGTTCTCTCCCACAGTACGTTGTTGCTAATAGTGTCCGGCCAACGGATCTGAAGTATTTTGCGTAGACAACTGTTAATAAACACCTGTATTTTCTGGATGATGGCTTTTGTAGTTCTCCAGGTTTCTGCCCCATACAGTAGAACTGTCTTGACATTTGTATTGAAAATCCTGACCTTGGTGTTGGTTGACAGTTGCTTTGAGTTCCAGATGTTCCTCAGTTGTAAATATGCTGCTCTTGCTTTGCCGATCCGCGCCTTCACATCTGCATCAGATCCACCCTGTTCATCAATGATGCTGCCCAAATATGTAAAGGTTTTTACATCTTCCAAATCTTCTCCGTCAATTGTGATTGGATTGGTGCATTCTGTGTTGTATCGGAGAATCCTGCTTTTCCCTTTGTGTATATTGAGACCTACTGCTGCTGAGGCTGCTGCCACACTGTTCGTCTTCTCCTGCATCTGTTGTTGCGTTTGGGATAGAAGGGCCAGATCGTCTGCGAAGTCTAGATCATCCAACTGCATCTTAGATGTCCATTGTATCCCGCGCTTCCCTTCAGACGTTGACGTCTTCATGATCCAGTCGATCACCAGAAAAAAGAGAAAGGGTGAGAGTAAGCAACCTTGCCTAACACCGGTCTTCACTTCGAACGACTTTGTCAACTGTCCTCCATGCACGATTTTGCAGTGTAATCCATCATATGAGTTCTGTATGATATTGACTATCTTCTGAGGCACGCCGTAGTGTCGAAGAAGTTTCCATAGTGTTGTTCTGTCCACGCTATCAAATGCCTTTTCGTAGTCAATGAAGTTGATGTAGAGTGATGAATTCCATTCAATTGATTGTTCCACAATGATCCGTAGAGTTGCGATTTGGTCTGTACACGATCTATCCTTACGGAATCCTGCCTGTTGGTCACGAAGTTGGGCGTCTACGCAGTCCTTCATCCTGTTTAACAATACCCTGTTGAAGACTTTTCCCGGTATTGAGAGAAGAGTGATGCCCCTGTAGTTATCACACTTGCTGAGATCGCCTTTCTTCGGTATTTTGATCAGAAGTCCTTCTTTCCAGTCTGTTGGTACTTGTTCCTCATCCCAAATCTTATTGAAGAGAATGTGGAGTATCCTTGCAGTTGCCGCTACGTCTGCTTTTAGTGCCTCTGCTGGGATGTTGTCCGGTCCTGCTGCTTTGCCACTCTTGATTTGTCTGATGGCCATGCTGATTTCTTCAATTGTTGGTGGGCCAACATTGATTGGGAGGTCCGTGGGTGCTGCTTCGATGTTGGGTGGGTTCAGTGGAGCTGGTCGATTCAAGAGTTCTTTGAAGTGTTCTACCCACCTGTTTTGTTGCTCTTCAATGTTGGTGATTACCTCGCCTTCCTTGCTTTTCACTGGTCGTTCTGGTTTGCGGCGATTTCCAGAGAGTTTCTTTGTCGTGTCATACAATTGTCTCATGTTTCCTTCTCTTGCAGCCTTTTCCGCCGTCGTTGCTAAATCTTCCACATATTTACGTTTGTCGGTTCTGATGCTCCTCTTCACTTGTTTGTTTACTTCTGTGTATTCAGCTTGTGCCTTGGCTTTTTCTGCTCTTGTTCGACTGGTATTGATTGCTGCCTTCTTGTTCCTTCTTTCTTGAATCTTATCCAGTGTATCAACAGTGATCCATTCCTTGTGATGGTGCTTCTTGTGACCCAGGACCTCATGACATGTTGAAGTGATTGCCTCTTTGATCCCCTTCCAGTTGCTCTCCACAGTAGTTCCTTCTCCATTGAGTAGATCATGAAAGGCCTGGAACTTGTTGCTGAGGACTATCTTGAATTTGTTGAGTTTGTTAGTATCCTGAAGAAAGGCCGTATTGAACTTTTGTGATATTGTCCGCCCCGTTGTCCAGTGCTTCTTGAGTTTCAATTTCATCTTGGCGACCAGCAAGTGATGATCTGATGCTATATCAGCTCCTCTCTTGGTTCTCACGTCCTCTATAGTCCTCCTGAACGTTTTGTTGATGCAAATATGGTCGATTTGGTTTTGTGTAGAGTGATCCGGTGAAGTCCATGTGGTTTTGTGTATGCGTTTATGTGGGAATATGGTGCCGCCTATGACCAGCTTATTGAAGGCACATAGATTTGCAAATCTCTCACCATTTTCGTTTCTTTCTCCCAGTCCGTGTCGTCCCATGATGTCTTCATATCCAGTGTTGTCCGTTCCAACCTTGGCGTTGAAATCTCCCATCAGAATGGTCAGGTCCTTTGTTGGGCACTTCTCGACGATTGACTGCAGCCTATTGTAGAATTGATCTTTAGCGTCTTCATTGTAGTCGTTGGTAGGCGCATAGCATTGGATGATGTTCATTGAAATGCCCTCTTTCTTTGTTTTGAACGAGGCTTTGATGATCCTTGGTCCATGAGATTCCCATCCTATAAGCGCATTTTGCGCTTGTTTGGACAGCATCAATGCAACTCCTTGTGTATGTGGTGCATTTTCTTCTTCATGGCCGGAGTATAACAGGAGCTCTCCTGTAGTTAGTCGTTGTTGTCCAACTTGTGTCCAATGTGTTTCACTGATCCCAAGTACCTCTAGGTTGTATCTTCTCATTTCTGCAGCAATTTGGAAGGCTCTCCGGTGTCCCACATTGTACGAACATTCCATGTACCTAAATAAATGGTCGCTCTGGTTGTCAGAAGGGGCATCGGCCTCGTAACTTCCGAAGGAATTCGGCTTTCATCATGAGGAGTCATAATTCTTCAAAACGAAGACGTTCTGATGGTATGTTCTAATAATTCTAGAATGAGATCACTTCCATTCAGGAAAGTTTATGATAATACTATTTATAAGTAAAGATGGATGGTAGTTAGCAGTGTAAACCAGGACACACGTCACGTCGTCCTATTTGTGAACCGTCAGCTGATTGATCACTGGATGGTAATCAATGTCATGTATGTCATTGTTTTTCTTAGTGCAAATCGAATCCTGTAATGTATCCATTAGTCTAGATGACTCGTCATTGCATAAGATGGTGGTTGAAGGTAGCCCACAGGAAACCCTAGACGTAGGTTTCATGCTACCTGTAATTTTGAGGGAATTGATGCTCCCTGACAGATTTGATCACGTATCACCCAGCTTCATAGTCAGAGACATTACTAACAAGCTTACAAACACTTCAGACACGCAAAAACTAAATCATTTTATCTGTATATCTTGAATAGTGATATTAAATGAATACATTTAACTTACCCATGGCATACATAATCTCTTATTACGTTCTAAATGCCAAATATTGTAATACACTACGATTACTTCTTATTACTTGTACACCAGTACGTGTATCTCTTGTCCATCTTGTAATACATAATACAAATGAGTGATTTGGACCCCAACGTGGTAATAATCCTTTACCTAATAAACCTGTTCTACCCATTGGATTTAATGGTGCACCTGTTGTTGAATCTAAACGATAACGACCAAGTAAACTTTGTCTACGTAATTTAGCTTTAGAATCATATTGATTAAAATTGATTGTACGTAGATTTTCACTATGTTGAAAAGTAAATACGATGTTTCCATGGGTAAAACTAATCATAATAATGTTATCATGAATTATAATGTATAACATTAATGATACATGTTTAAGTATAATGTATTCAAATCATTTCAAGAGTTCGATAAGGAATCCGTTGAAGAATTCATATGTGTTTTGACGAGATCATCGGTTTGATTGATGAAGAGAAGAAAAGTAATAAGTTGTCTTTAGACACAGATCTATCTGGGTTTTTTTTTAATAGAGGTGTTTAATCTTTAAGTACAGAGACGATTCATCATGCAGTTATAGGCAGTCATATATGACTAATTATGCAGGATATAAAGCATAACAGCATACTCATATTATACTTGATGTGTTAGTAGCTGATATTATAATACAATCATAATATGCAACTTCATGAATGATGATTGTGTTAGACTATGAATGAATTGTATGTATATACAATGAATAATAGATATCATGCATTTAACAAAAGTCGTGGATGCGCACTGCTGAGGAGTTCCACAATAGGACGAAACGGCTGTTCAGTGCTTCCAGGTTTTCCGTGGCGGTCTAGCTTCAACTGACTCATGATCTTAACCATTGAAATTACTATAATATCCACAAAACCCATCTGATATTAATCAACATATGCTCAGCAGTGACTGGCTTCACGAGGTATATCCTGGAGTTCTAGTGAGAAGTAGTGACCAGTGGAGTTCAACCAGGTCTGTTGTGAGATAGTAACTAAATGAAAACAACTGTGGATATGTCGCCCAATTTCGTGGATTTGTTGAAGTTAGACATTAACACCGATTGGATGCCGGCCGACTCAGTGGTTAAGCGTTCGCATGCGAGACTGAATACCCTGGTTTTTAATCCCGCGTTGAAAGATTTGTTGTATTGGTGGTAATAATGAAAAAATAATTGTGCGTTTAATCTCTGGTGTGTAAATCGTTGACAACTGTCTATTTTGAGATTGATATCAAGATTAGTATATGACTTATATCTTCTGGAACATCCATACAATCTATAGTAATTACCTACATTCTAGTTAACGTTTCTTGAAACTTTGAAATAGACTCAAATCCCTATGGTAATACTATTTATAAGTAAAGATGGATGGTAGCTAGCAGTGTAATCCAGTACACGCGTCACGTTGTCTTATTTGGGACCCGTCAGCTGATTGATCACTGGATGGTAATCAATGTCATGTATGTCATTGTTTTTCTTAGTGCAAATCGAATCCTGTAATGTAGCCATTAGTCTAGATGACTCGTCACTGCATAAGATGGTGGTTGAAGGTAGCCCACAGGAAACCCTAGACGTAGGTTTCATGCTACCTGTAATTTTGAGGGAATTGATGCTCCCTGACAGATTTGATCACGTATCACCCAGCTTCATAGTCAGAGACATTACTAACAAGCTTACAAACACTTCAGACACGCAAAAACTAAATCATTTTATCTGTATATCTTGAATAGTGATATTAAATGAATACATTTAACTTACCCATGGCATACATAATCTCTTATTACGTTCTAAATGCCAAATATTGTAATACACCACGATTACTTCTTATTACTTGTACACCAGTACGTGTATCTCTTGTCCATCTTGTAATACATAATACAAATGAATGATTTGGACCCCAACGTGGTAATAATCCTTTACCTAATAAACCTGTTCTACCCATTGGATTTAATGGTGCACCTGTTGTTGAATCTAAACGATAACGACCAAGTAAACTTTGTCTACGTAATTTAGCTTTAGAATCATATTGATTAAAATTGATTGTACGTAGATTTTCACTATGTTGAAAAGTAAATACGATGTTTCCATGGGTAAAACTAATCATAATAATGTTATCATGAATTATAATGTATAACATTAATGATACATGTTTAAGTATAATGTATTCAAATCATTTCAAGAGTTCGATAAGGAATCCGTTGAAGAATTCATATGTGTTTTGACGAGATCATCGGTTTGATTGATGAAGAGAAGAAAAGTAATAAGTTGTCTTTAGACACAGATCTATCTGGGTTTTTTTTTAATAGAGGTGTTTAATCTTTAAGTACAGAGACGATTCATCATGCAGTTATAGGCAGTCATATATGACTAATTATGCAGGATATAAAGCATAACAGCATACTCATATTATACTTGATGTGTTAGTAGCTGATATTATAATACAATCATAATATGCAACTTCATGAATGATGATTGTGTTAGACTATGAATGAATTGTATGTATATACAATGAATAATAGATATCATGCATTTAACAAAAGTCGTGGATGCGCACTGCTGAGGAGTTCCACAATAGGACGAAACGGCTGTTCAGTGCTTCCAGGTTTTCCGTGGCGGTCTAGCTTCAACTGACTCATGATCTTAACCATTGAAATTACTATAATATCCACAAAACCCATCTGATATTAATCAACATATGCTCAGCAGTGACTGGCTTCACGAGGTATATCCTGGAGTTCTAGTGAGAAGTAGTGACCAGTGGAGTTCAACCAGGTCTGTTGTGAGATAGTAACTAAATGAAAACAACTGTGGATATGTCGCCCAATTTCGTGGATTTGTTGAAGTTAGACATTAACACCGATTGGATGCCGGCCGACTCAGTGGTTAAGCGTTCGCATGCGAGACTGAATACCCTGGTTTTTAATCCCGCGTTGAAAGATTTGTTGTATTGGTGGTAATAATGAAAAAATAATTGTGCGTTTAATCTCTGGTGTGTAAATCGTTGACAACTGTCTATTTTGAGATTGATATCAAGATTAGTATATGACTTATATCTTCTGGAACATCCATACAATCTATAGTAATTACCTACATTCTAGTTAACGTTTCTTGAAACTTTGAAATAGACTCAAATCCCTATGGTAATACTATTTATAAGTAAAGATGGATGGTAGCTAGCAGTGTAATCCAGTACACGCGTCACGTTGTCTTATTTGGGACCCGTCAGCTGATTGATCACTGGATGGTAATCAATGTCATGTATGTCATTGTTTTTCTTAGTGCAAATCGAATCCTGTAATGTAGCCATTAGTCTAGATGACTCGTCACTGCATAAGATGGTGGTTGAAGGTAGCCCACAGGAAACCCTAGACGTAGGTTTCATGCTACCTGTAATTTTGAGGGAATTGATGCTCCCTGACAGATTTGATCACGTATCACCCAGCTTCATAGTCAGAGACATTACTAACAAGCTTACAAACACTTCAGACACGCAAAAACTAAATCATTTTATCTGTATATCTTGAATAGTGATATTAAATGAATACATTTAACTTACCCATGGCATACATAATCTCTTATTACGTTCTAAATGCCAAATATTGTAATACACCACGATTACTTCTTATTACTTGTACACCAGTACGTGTATCTCTTGTCCATCTTGTAATACATAATACAAATGAATGATTTGGACCCCAACGTGGTAATAATCCTTTACCTAATAAACCTGTTCTACCCATTGGATTTAATGGTGCACCTGTTGTTGAATCTAAACGATAACGACCAAGTAAACTTTGTCTACGTAATTTAGCTTTAGAATCATATTGATTAAAATTGATTGTACGTAGATTTTCACTATGTTGAAAAGTAAATACGATGTTTCCATGGGTAAAACTAATCATAATAATGTTATCATGAATTATAATGTATAACATTAATGATACATGTTTAAGTATAATGTATTCAAATCATTTCAAGAGTTCGATAAGGAATCCGTTGAAGAATTCATATGTGTTTTGACGAGATCATCGGTTTGATTGATGAAGAGAAGAAAAGTAATAAGTTGTCTTTAGACACAGATCTATCTGGGTTTTTTTTTAATAGAGGTGTTTAATCTTTAAGTACAGAGACGATTCATCATGCAGTTATAGGCAGTCATATATGACTAATTATGCAGGATATAAAGCATAACAGCATACTCATATTATACTTGATGTGTTAGTAGCTGATATTATAATACAATCATAATATGCAACTTCATGAATGATGATTGTGTTAGACTATGAATGAATTGTATGTATATACAATGAATAATAGATATCATGCATTTAACAAAAGTCGTGGATGCGCACTGCTGAGGAGTTCCACAATAGGACGAAACGGCTGTTCAGTGCTTCCAGGTTTTCCGTGGCGGTCTAGCTTCAACTGACTCATGATCTTAACCATTGAAATTACTATAATATCCACAAAACCCATCTGATATTAATCAACATATGCTCAGCAGTGACTGGCTTCACGAGGTATATCCTGGAGTTCTAGTGAGAAGTAGTGACCAGTGGAGTTCAACCAGGTCTGTTGTGAGATAGTAACTAAATGAAAACAACTGTGGATATGTCGCCCAATTTCGTGGATTTGTTGAAGTTAGACATTAACACCGATTGGATGCCGGCCGACTCAGTGGTTAAGCGTTCGCATGCGAGACTGAATACCCTGGTTTTTAATCCCGCGTTGAAAGATTTGTTGTATTGGTGGTAATAATGAAAAAATAATTGTGCGTTTAATCTCTGGTGTGTAAATCGTTGACAACTGTCTATTTTGAGATTGATATCAAGGTTAGTATATGACTTATATCTTCTGGAACATCCATACAATCTATAGTAATTACCTACATTCTAGTTAACGTTTCTTGAAACTTTGAAATAGACTCAAATCCCTATGGTAATACTATTTATAAGTAAAGATGGATGGTAGCTAGCAGTGTAATCCAGTACACGCGTCACGTTGTCTTATTTGGGACCCGTCAGCTGATTGATCACTGGATGGTAATCAATGTCATGTATGTCATTGTTTTTCTTAGTGCAAATCGAATCCTGTAATGTAGCCATTAGTCTAGATGACTCGTCACTGCATAAGATGGTGGTTGAAGGTAGCCCACAGGAAACCCTAGACGTAGGTTTCATGCTACCTGTAATTTTGAGGGAATTGATGCTCCCTGACAGATTTGATCACGTATCACCCAGCTTCATAGTCAGAGACATTACTAACAAGCTTACAAACACTTCAGACACGCAAAAACTAAATCATTTTATCTGTATATCTTGAATAGTGATATTAAATGAATACATTTAACTTACCCATGGCATACATAATCTCTTATTACGTTCTAAATGCCAAATATTGTAATACACCACGATTACTTCTTATTACTTGTACACCAGTACGTGTATCTCTTGTCCATCTTGTAATACATAATACAAATGAATGATTTGGACCCCAACGTGGTAATAATCCTTTACCTAATAAACCTGTTCTACCCATTGGATTTAATGGTGCACCTGTTGTTGAATCTAAACGATAACGACCAAGTAAACTTTGTCTACGTAATTTAGCTTTAGAATCATATTGATTAAAATTGATTGTACGTAGATTTTCACTATGTTGAAAAGTAAATACGATGTTTCCATGGGTAAAACTAATCATAATAATGTTATCATGAATTATAATGTATAACATTAATGATACATGTTTAAGTATAATGTATTCAAATCATTTCAAGAGTTCGATAAGGAATCCGTTGAAGAATTCATATGTGTTTTGACGAGATCATCGGTTTGATTGATGAAGAGAAGAAAAGTAATAAGTTGTCTTTAGACACAGATCTATCTGGGTTTTTTTTAATAGAGGTGTTTAATCTTTAAGTACAGAGACGATTCATCATGCAGTTATAGGCAGTCATATATGACTAATTATGCAGGATATAAAGCATAACAGCATACTCATATTATACTTGATGTGTTAGTAGCTGATATTATAATACAATCATAATATGCAACTTCATGAATGATGATTGTGTTAGACTATGAATGAATTGTATGTATATACAATGAATAATAGATATCATGCATTTAACAAAAGTCGTGGATGCGCACTGCTGAGGAGTTCCACAATAGGACGAAACGGCTGTTCAGTGCTTCCAGGTTTTCCGTGGTGGTCTAGCTTCAACTGACTCATGATCTTAACCATTGAAATTACTATAATATCCACAAAACCCATCTGATATTAATCAACATATGCTCAGCAGTGACTGGCTTCACGAGGTATATCCTGGAGTTCTAGTGAGAAGTAGTGACCAGTGGAGTTCAGTCAGGTCTGTTGTGAAATAGTAACTCACTGAAGACAATGGTGGATATGTCGCTCGAGTTCGTGTATTATTTAAAGTTAGACATTAACACCGTCGGATACCGGCTCAGTGGCCTAGTGGTTAAGTGCTCGGGCACAAAATCAGTAGGTCCTGGGTTCGGATCTCGCAGGGTGCGAGGTCGTGGGTGCGCACTGCTGAGGAGTCCCACAATAGGACGAAACGGCCGTCCAGTCCTTCTAGGTTTCCCATGGTGTCTAGCTTCAACTGACTCATGATCATGAACATTGGAAAGTAAACTTATTGACGTTGGATATCTCAAGGCTAATATTTTGCATGATCTAAGAATACTGATAGTATCCAATTAAACTCTTGGAATTATTCAAAATATAAAATAATAGAAGTTTTGATCATCTTAGTTTAAGTCTACTTATAATCTAAGACTGTAATGAATCAATTTTCAATACAAATTTAAAGACAGTTCTACTGTATGGAAGGCGGAAACTTGGAGAACTACAAAAGCCATTATCCATGATATACAAGTGTTTATTAACAGTTGCCTATGCAAAATACTTCGGATCCGTTGGTCAAACACTATCAGCAAAAAATCTACTGTGGAAGAGGACAAACCAGATCCCAGCAGAGGAAGAAATCAGGAAGAAGTGATGGAAGTCGATAGAACACACATTGAGGCGAACACCCAACTACGTCACAAGACAAGTCCTCACTTGGAACCCTCAAATCCAAAGGAGGAGAGGGAGAGCAAAGAACATATTACGCCGAGAAATGGAGACAGACCAAATAATAATGAACAACAATAAGATACAGCTATGAGGGAAGGCCCAGGACAGATTGGGTTAGAGTATGCTGACCGATGGCCTATTCTGGATTGGGAGTAACAGGCGTAATGAAGTAAAAGTAATCAATGTCTTCAAACTGATACAATATGATCTAGGTACTGAATCGAAATTTGTTTTGTTTTACTATGCAAATTTGATAAACAGTATTACAGTGAATGAAGACTTAGGTGGGTGTTTCATTCATAATCATACAACAGTTTAGCAAAATGTGAATTCATACATCAAATACATCCTTTGCACATCTTGCAGTTGTCCTCTACATCCCTTATGATCCTTTCAATTCCGTTTTGATTCCGGCCCCTTACTGTTCCTTTCAATTCCTTCATCTCAATATTCTTTTCATCAACATTCTACTTCTGATTGACATTACATACTACTTACATCTATCAATATAAGTAGCATGTACTACAGTATTACTTTTAATAAACAATATCGATGGATATTTATTTCATTTCTTACTTCCTTGATTCTATGAATCCCATCATCTCAATAAAAGGAAGGACAATATGCTTTTAAATTCTGTGTAATGTAAGCCTTTGAACTGATACAAAACGATACAAAGATCCATGTGAACTAATATGAATTCATTCTATTTTGTTTGATCTTCATCAGTTGCTTACAACTTATAATTGTGTAATGAAGTAACTGAAAACAGATTAATGATAATAAAGGAAGATGTGAGTTGAACTCTGGTTAGCGTCTGGTTAGTTGTCTTCTCAAGATACTCAATATCCGTTGGCCGGATACCATCAGCAACAATCTACTGTGGAAGAGAAAAACCAGCTTCCGGCTGAAGAAGACATTAGGAAAAGATGATGGGAATGGATAGAACATACATTACGCAAATCATCGATCTGTATAACGAGGCAAGCCCGTATTTGGAATTCTGAAGGGAAACGGAAAAGAGGAAGACCAAAGAATACAGTACATCGGGAAATAGAAGCAGATATGAAAAGGGTGAATAACAATTGGAAAGAGCTGGAAAGGATCGCTCAGTACAGAGTTGGATGAAGAGTGCTGGTGAGTGACCTACGCTCCTCCACAAGGAGTAACAGGCGTAAGTAAGTAAGTAAGTAAATAAGTAAGAGTTCAACTTCATCAAACCGAACCATAATTATGAATTGAAGAAAAATGGCGGTGACGTAACCAAAACTTGAGGAAGATTTGAAACGATGAATGATGTAATAAAAGGGATGTAATGTTACCAGGGTAAAGAATGACTTATTACAGCCTCATTTTAGATACATAGATATGATTTTTAACGTTTGATCGCTATAGCTTTGAAGGATTTCAAAAGATTGGAATTTGATTGTTTATTCATTATCTTGAAGGACTTCAATGTATTCATTTGATGTTCGGTATCAAGGAGATGTCTCAAAATGACAATGCTGATTGCTTTCAATCCAATTAAGCTTATGTTCTTTGAATCGAACGTAGGCACTTCTTTCAAATCTACTTATATAACTACTATGGCAGATATATGTGAATTTTTATACGTAGCTATAGCGATCAAAGGTCTAGAATTAGATCTATGTGTCCTAAAAGAACCAGTAATCTGTCTTTGTTTACTCTAGTAAGATTAAACCTACTTTTTACCTATTATATCACTCATTATTTCAAATCTTTCTCAAGTTTTGATTACATCATTATCATTTCTCCTCAATTCATAATTTGGGTTCGCTTTGACTGATTTCAACCCACATCTTTCTTTATTACCGTTAAGCTATATTTAGTTACTCCATTACAAAATCATCGAGTTGAACAACATGGTAGATAAGATGGATTCACCTAAGAGAAGTTAAGAAACTCTGATTCCAAATCAACAGAGTACATGTTCTCCAAGATCTTGAGGGAACACATGTCTCATAAACCTATTGTTGGCTATCGGCTATCATGGGACTACAGCTCTCCACTGCCTTATGAATTAGACCTCTAGGTCAAAGGCTCAAGAAGTGGCCCCCTGAAAAAATCATCTTCGGTTATTACATCCAGACTGTATTTTAGCTCTTAGACACAAATCGAATGACGAAGTGTATCACATATATATATTTGGTACCTTCTTGTACCACTATTTATGTGTTTAAATAAAGATTTGAGATTAACAAGATTGAAATGAAAAGAATAAGGGGTTTTGTGGAGATTTTAGTAATTTCGATTGTTGAGACCATGAAATTAGATCATCATGGAAAACCTGGAAACACTAGATGGCAGTTTCATCCTAGTATGGGACTCCTCAGCAGTGCACATCCACGACCTACCCCCCTCCTCGCGAGATTCGAACCCAGGACCTAAAATATTAATTCATTCATGATCTCAATCAATAATATAATTCAGGTAAATACGATATAACGATGTTGCTATTATGATAGATATGTAATGAAAGTATTACATGCTAAAAGAAAACACATCATCATGCTCATGTATTGTAAAATTATAAAAAGAAAAACCCAGCAGGTTAGTAACTAATTATGCAATAGAAAATGCAATGGAATACAGTACACTTGGGGTAATCATTAAAACATGCAATGAATGAATGACAAAAAAAAACAACTTTAGCCTACTTAACACCATCATGTGATTCTTCTGATGGGAATAATAAAACTTCTTCACAAGCATCATATGCAAAGTAATCTGGATATTCCACCTATTTATTCAATGAAAGTATATGAATAGTATGTATAAATGTACAATTGAAACTATGATATAGAATAGTAATAATCAAGTCAATCATATAATTTTGATTGAGATCATGGACCGATTGATGTTGGAACACTGTTGAAAACCCGGAGGCACTGAACGGCCGTTTCGCACTATTGTAGGACTTCTCAGTGGTGCGTATCCACGATCACGACCGCGGGATTCTAAATCAGGGCTTTCAGTCTCGTGTGTACGCTTAACCTACTGGACCACTGAGACGGCATCCAATGGTGTTGATGTCTAACCTCAACCAATCCATGAATCCCGCGAGCGGGACCGTGGATGCGCACTGCTGAGGAGTCCCACAATAGGACGAAACGGCCGTCCAGTACTTCCAGGTTTTTCATGATGGCCTAACATCAATCGGTTCATGATCTTAATTATTGAAATTATTATAATATCTACGAAATCCATCTGATATTCATGGATTATGTTTAGTCTAAGAAGAGACTTAATAGACTGTCCTTTTAATTATAGTGAGTTTATTTACATGAATGATATCATAGAAGATCCAATAAATCTCACAGATCATACATTTTCAAAAGTATTCAAATCATTCGATTCCGAACCCTGCCTACCACCCAGTAGGGAGTTAAAGAAGGACTTTACATTGAAACTGGGTTTTAAATCAGTAATTAGTTGAACTTTTATAACCACAATTAAGAAATAAATTTAAGCTTCACTGAGACTGAAATAGCATGAAGCGGTTACATTTGTAAGTATTTTTGTACTTCTTAGTAAGTAATGCGCATTCACAATTAGTAGTGACAAATGGTCGTGAAAAAAATAAACACTTAGTATTGTTGAGGAGATACAGAAAAGTCCTCACACCTTTTCTCTTGTGTTCAGATTGTGGTTTAGATTAAGTCTGAAGGTTGCTAGAAGAGATTAGGGAACCAAATCTAACGTTCTATTAAAAGATCTACCACTTATCCAGTTAATATACACGATGAGCATTCATTCATATCCCATAATAAACAAGGATTTAAAAAAATGTCCTCAAAGTAACCAAAATATGACCATATAATAAGTGAATACAGTCATCATAATAAGTAAACTGTGATTCCATGGGAAATGTGAAATATAATTCGAAAATCATTTGGTGTTGTTTTACTTGTATCTTCCCATTGTTATTTAGGACTGTAAATAATCAGTCTCTTATTGGCATATGTGCATACTGTAAGTATTGCCTCTATATTGCCTTAATTCACAAGCTTTATAGTGGTTAGCAGTGAAATCTAGTTTGAAGTGCGTCACTTCGTCCTATTTGGAACTCGTCAGTTAAATGTACCTGCATCTCAGAGTTGATATCCACTCTGAGACTCGAACCCAGTACCGTTTGCTTCAAACACCATCTCGTTATCCACCCAGCTATTGGGTCTTGATAGCTACCTGCTTTTGCTAACGAGTCCTAAGTAGGACAAAACGTGCGTCTTGGATTCCACTGATAGCCACTGTCCATGTTTGCTTATGATTCGAAACTTTTCAAAATACTTTTCGTCAAATGAATTGATTAAGTTTAAAAGTTAAACATCATGTGTTTAGTATAATCAAATGAAAGTAACTATTCATCTAGTGAAATACTTACAGTCCATGCCATTCGTTCCGGTGGTACATTCATTCTCATTCCAGGATATTTTTCAAAATTAAATGGAGCCATTCCCCATAATCGATGATCACCTAATGTTCTTTCGATAACTCTTCCAGTTTTAATATCTGGAACTTGAGGTACTATGACTGGATCGGCTGAAGGATCACCACCTTCTTCTGAACCACTTGAATCATCTTCGGATCCAGGAACAACAGCAGCTAATAGAACAGGTGATTCCCTGAAGAAATTACAGAATATGTTAAATATTTAATACATGATATAAACTGAAATAAAAGTCAGCCTTGGTTGACTAGGGTTAGCCTAAAAACTAATCTGTTTTTTACCGTATTAATTGATCAGTATTTGGCTGGTTTTATGGACGATAAATGAGATATAGCTAGTCATATGATCACACCAGTTACTGGATTGCCCTAAGTTGTGAATAAATTAATCCTTTTGTACTCAAGACGCCCAACTTCAAGACCAACAAACAGGATTCCTTAAAGATCGATTGTGTACAGACCAAATCGCAACACTACAGATCATTGTGGAACAATCAATTAATAGAAATTCATCATTCTACATCGAATTCTTCGACTACGAGAAAGCATTTGATAGCGTGGACAGGGCAATATTATGGAGGCTTTTCAACACTACAGCGTGCCTGAGAAAATAGTCAATATCATACGGAATTCCTATGATGAATTAAGCTGCAAAATCTTGAATGGAGGACAGCTGACAGACCCGTTAGAAGTAAAGACCGGTGTCAGGCAAGTGTTCATTACAACAGATACAATGACTTCAAGTGACACTCCTCATGATTTTTTTTTGTTAGTCTTTAATAGAGTGAATGAATTATCATCTATTATCAACTTGTTTACTAATAAAGACACAAACAAATGAAATTTTTGTTCTGGTTTTATTAGCAAGACTATAATTTATTGACGAACCAATCAGATTGGCGACGATAGATCTTGGATTTTAGCGCAAAATTCATTCCTACATTTGATTAAATAGTCTTAATTCAATAAAGTCATATACATGTACATAAAAACACACTCACCTTGGGGGTGGAGGAGGTGGTGGCGGTGGTGGTGGTGGTGTTGGTGGTCGTAGTACATCTTTAGCTGCTTCTAATGCAGATTGAATAGCTACTTCTAGTTTTGTACGTTTTCTAGTTTCTGCTGTTCCTGAATCAGCTTGAGTTGTGGTGGATTTTTGTACAGGAACAACCTCATCAGTGAATTCATTACATTGACAAGTAGGAAGTTCATTTATTTGTCGAATAATCTAGAAAATGATACAGAACTCAGTTTGTTAAAAAAATCCATCGAGATAATAGTATTATTTCATTAAATACGTCTCAATCATTTATCATCTCTGTGTAATAGTGATAAGCTGTCATCGAAACCATCGTTATCTACATGTGGGCTTGTAGTCACAGTGACGGTTATGTTAGATTAACTACTCTCCAATGATGATTATGGAGGATCCACCTAGAAGAGTTGGGAAACTCTAATTCAAAACAAATGGTTCACATGGGCTACGCGATCCTGAGGGAACAAATGGCGTATGAACCAATTATTGGTCACCGGCTATTATGGGACTGCATCTTCTGATGTTGCTCCACTGTCTTGTGGAGCAGACTTTTAGGTCGAAAGCTCCGCGTCTGACCCCCTAAGAAAACCACCTGCTTCGGTCTGGGCACCCGGGTAGTATCACAGCTCACACATAAATCAAGTAAATTATGTGGCGCAAATATATCATGTGACAATATATCATGCATTTTAACGGTTAATAAATGTTTGTATTTGCATGAAAATAAGTATCATCCCACTTTGTTTGTTGTAGAACTATTTACAGTTTTTATTTATTCTCCAACTTTATGTCTTTCGCTAAGTATTAGTTACTGTGAATAACACTAGTTCAAAAAAAATACTTCAGCACTACTACTGTGATATGTGCTATTGATATCGACAGATATAAGTAGTATGTTTGACCAATCAAAAGTGAAATGCCTGGTGGCAGAAAGTTAAGAAGTTCAAAGAAATGAGAACGAGAGCAGTGAATGTCTGATGTAGAAACAAAGGAACAATCAAGTTTGAGACAACTAATTGAAGTATGATTACCAGATTCTACAAGATATTCTGTAATGTTTTCTTAAAATACACGTGATTGTTCCCACTTGTGCTTTAACCATTTAAGTGGAGTTTTATTCACGGAGGTAGACACTTTGGTCCTGAAGTTTTGATTATTCTTCCTCTGAGTAACATCATCAGTACAATCTTGTTCAGAAGAATAATGAAAGGTAATGTTATATCCCGATAAGAATAATGAATGATTCATATCGCAGAGGCTGAGATTGGTGTTCTGGACTTAACTGACTGTGCTAGACTAGGACTCTAGGCTGCTCGCACGTGTTTCATGCGTCACTGGTTCGATCGACAATTCGCTGCTCTCTGATTGGCGGTATCATTGCGTTATACAATAAACAGAACACACAGGTTCACAAGTTATAACAGCTAACTATTGTCAACTTACTCGTTGTTGTGTTACAGTCACATTACTGATTACTTCAGATAAATTTGTTAATAATTGTGTTACATCATTCAAACGTGAATCAACATCATTAAAACGTTGAAATTGATTATCAATCTCTTTGAAACGTTTTTCTAACTCCATTCCAATACCCTGGGAGAAATAGAATAATACAAGGAAAACAACAATGATAATGTTATTATCGGAAGAGAAGAACCCAATCAATTATAAAAGAGGCCAACCACCTTTCGCCTACCTTGTTAACAATGATGCGCTTACTAATCGCTAGTTTAAGATAGATTTCTCAAAGCCCCATTATGATATTATTCCTTATGTAATATAACTAACTGTATTAAGAATGAGCTATTTATTCACTAATGACATAGATTAGTTATGGCATTGGATCGTGAATTAGCAGAAGTTGGAAGTATAAACCATTGGATACTGCAATAGCTGTTAACAAACATCTAATTAGTCATAATATTAATAAGTCTATAGTCCGATTTTGTGTGTCAGCATTGATGAGTAGTTTGCAATTATGAAAAACAAGAAGTATCCAATGTTCTATGCCTATAAGTGTTATCTGAACTTACATTCAAATAGAAAACTTGTACAAACACCATGATCATAATGATCAAAACTAGGGTTACAAGAAGAAGGCTCAGAGATTTCTGTCATTTCTGACAGGAAGTTAACTAAAGCTTTATAGTTACATCATCTGTCTCAGACGAAGCATCATTTACAGAAGCATAGCAGTTTAATAAAGACTACAAATAAGTTGAATTACTTAACTATGTATCGCAAGTGAATACAAGTCACCATAGTAGACTAATGTAATATGTGACAAAACTGGAGGTTTAACTGGTTTTAAGCTAATAAAATTGTTTGCTTTTATTAAATCCTCTAAAATGGAATAGCATATACTGGGACACTCTAGTTATATTGTCAAGCATACTGGTATTATGTTTAAAATATCCCTGATTTCATTTCAACTAGTCAACATACGTTCATGTTGTTCACTGATATTCTAGACAAATTTAGATTATCATTGAATAGTATTAATATTACCTCTGTAACACTGGACATTTCACTTTTTAAATCCATTACTGGTCCTTGACCAGGACCAACACCTCCACCACCACGAAATACGACAGCACGTGATTCAGCTACACCTCTTTTCCCAGTTGCTTTGGTTGATGGTTCTCTTAAATAATCCATAGCTTTCATATGCTCCCATTTGACCGTTTCCCTTTCTTTTTTCACATCGGTAAATCGTACACCTTAATAAGTAAAACAAATGTGAGATAAGCATATCAATGTGTAAAGAATAATCAAGTTATAGGTACCGATTCCCCCAAATGGGATGGAAGACAACAAACAAATAGAGAATGTGAAAAAATCCTAACAAAACAGATTATTAATTTATAACCGTCCAACGAAGGGACAGAACTTTCATGAATTTCTTCTGAATTCAAAAACTTAGGATCATAGATTCTGAACCTCATCACTTCTGCTATATGTAGGAGATTGAAAATGACGAAGGTATATAATACATCACTCGAAATGATCATAGACAATGTCGCTAACCGAATACTCGTTGAATTATAGTTTGGAGAAATAGAACTTTGTTATTAGCGGTCAACATCTGAAACTTGGTTTTTTTCATGTTTACGCATATTTCTTTAAAAAGCATCTCAAGCAGGTCATCTCCATCAGTATGCTACTGATAAACTACTACTCATTTAAAGCATCCATTGAGCAGATTATTTTTGCTCTACACATTAGACATGTAACCAGATTTCTTTTGTAATGGATGTGTGTCGACAAACAAACGATCTCATTCTAAATAGGCTTCTACGTAAACGAGCTATCATCTTGTAACTGTTAAGAACCAGTTAAAATACATACTGACTTAATGAATAAAGGGATCATATACATCGAATTCACATGACAATTCAAAGCTACACATAAATAAGTATCATAATTTACATTGATAACCAGTATTGTTAAAAAAAATAAACAGATTGATTTACAAAATGGATTATATTTTGCTGTTTCAGCATTTCTTAAACTTGCGCTTTATATGCTTCATAGAAATGCCAAACAATAATAATTGGTGGAGCAAGTGGTGATCTATGAACATAATCATTGATCATTTGATATCTTTGATAATTCCAATAGTATGTTGATGCACTCTCTATTTCTTCGTAGGTTTTACTGGAAAAAAATATCAGTTAAAATGTAGGCTACTTATATTTAAAACAGTAGTTCATCTTATAAATAAAAATAAAGAGAAACAGTGTGTCTTATTTTCCACATTAATTTACAATAAATTGAAATCAGTGATAATTTAATGAGAAAATCTTCAGGTTAACTCTATGAGATTCTTGGTATTGAAACTAAAGATCTCTGTACGATGGTATAGTTTTAATATCATATTCATACCCATATTGATAAACCTGAAGATGCCACAGGTATTTGGAGTTGGACAACACTTTAACCAGTAACACCTTCTACTATGCATCGTATCCACCAAGTGAAATCAAAAGACGGAAGCTAGGAAGTTCAAAGATATATTTGATAATCAATCAATATATCGTGGATCGACTGATCTAATCTGGCTACCGATTTCAGGGGATGTTGAGCACGGCGTTCCCACTCGTGTTCTGGTGTGGATGCATAACTGAGCGCATTCAACGTGGTGAGTCCATTCAAACTAATGTGGTCAGCATCTAATGTCGGACACTTACAGAGCTATTTATTTGTGGGACTTATTTACCGTTTAAAAACTTATCAAATCGACCTATCAGTTTATGGTCACTAAATCAAAATGTCAAATTGAAATCTTATTAAAAGTGACTTCAGATAGCTGAATGTATTTTTCTGTATCAAACATCTTATAGTTTTGAATGAGAAATTCTCAATAACATTTCTATGAAACCAACAATAAAAGATTAAAAGGCGAGACTATAACTTATGGACGAACTAATCAAGTATGAGATTTTTGTGCTAAGTTAACTCATCCATTTGATTAAATAGAGTTTTGGCATTATAGCCAACGTTAGTTTATGATGAAAACCTTAAGTCTAATTCCTAACCCTTAACCATCAACTGTAAGTCATAATTTAAATTCTTCACGCTGATTTATAACCCTTATTTAGTTCCGGTTATTAGGTGGACACTCTCAATGTCCAGGTTAGATGGTGGTTGGAGGTAGTCAACCGGAAACTCTGGACTCAGGTTTCGTACTACTTAGCACTCGTCAGCAAGGTGTACCTGTAATCTTGAGGGCACTGGTGCTCCCTAGCGGATTCGATCTCGTGTCACCCAGCTACACAGTCAGAGACGTTACCACTGAGCTGTCCGAGCCGCGACCGACCTCTTGTAGGACTGAGATATAATCACAATTGATTGATCACTGGGTGGTGCTCAATTTCATGCTTGTCTAGTCCTTATTAGTGCAGATCGAATGCTATTGACACGCATGACATTGATCGCCACCCAGTGATCAATCAGTTGTAACTCTCAATGTCAGTTTAGCATCGTTCAAAGGTCGTCCGTAAATAATGGTCTCATCGAGTGAAACATTATTTCTTTTTTTTAAAAATAGTTACAGAAACTATGACACAGACAGAACTTGTTCAGTTCAATGTGCAGACCAATGAATATATAACTCTCCAAGTACACGCAACTTATTAATTTCTTTGTCTAAACATATAAACATTGATACAAGGAGGTATCGGATACATAAATGCCACATATCGTCATTCGATTTGTGTGAGAGCTGGAATACTGACTGGCCACATAAACCGAAGTAAGTTGCTATCCTAGCAGGCCACTCTCCGAGTCTTTGACATACAATTCTAATTAAGAGTTTAGCAACGATTGAGATGAAGACATTGTACGTACAGATAATTTTTAAAAATAATATTTACTCATAATATCTGAATCCTTCAATTTGCGTTACATAGCTGCCTTATAAATTAGAATTGTATGTCAAAGACTCGGAGAGTGGCCTGCTAGGATAGCAACTTACTTCGGTTTATGTGGCCAGTCAGTATTCCAGCTCTCATACAAATCGAATGACGATATGTGGCATTTATGTATCCGATACCTCCTTGTATCAATGTTTATATGTTTAGACAAAGAAATTAATAAGTTGCGTGTACTTGGAGAGTTATATATTCATTGGTCTGCACATTGAACTGAACAAGTTCTGTCTGTGTCATAGTTTCTGTAACTATTTTTAAAAAAAAGAAATAATGTTTCACTCGATGAGACCATTATTTACGGACGACCTTTGAACGATGCTAAACTGACATTGAGAGTTACAACTGATTGATCACTGGGTGGCGATCAATGTCATGCGTGTCAATAGCATTCGATCTGCACTAATAAGGACTAGACAAGCATGAAATTGAGCATCACCCAGTGATCAATCAATTGTGATTATATCTCAGTCCTACAAGAGGTCGGTCGCGGCTCGGACAGCTCAGTGGTAACGTCTCTGACTGTGTAGCTGGGTGACACGAGATCGAATCCGCTAGGGAGCACCAGTGCCCTCAAGATTACAGGTACACCTTGCTGACGAGTGCTAAGTAGTACGAAACCTGAGTCCAGAGTTTCCGGTTGACTACCTCCAACCACCATCTAACCTGGACATTGAGAGTGTCCACCTAATAACCGGAACTAAATAAGGGTTATAAATCAGCGTGAAGAATTTAAATTATGACTTACAGTTGATGGTTAAGGGTTAGGAATTAGACTTAAGGTTTTCATCATAAACTAACGTTGGCTATAATGCCAAAACTCTATTTAATCAAATGGATGAGTTAACTTAGCACAAAAATCTCATACTTGATTAGTTCGTCCATAAGTTATAGTCTCGCCTTTTAATCTTTTATTGTTGGTTTCATAGAAATGTTATTGAGAATTTCTCATTCAAAACTATAAGATGTTTGATACAGAAAAATACATTCAGCTATCTGAAGTCACTTTTAATAAGATTTCAATTTGACATTTTGATTTAGTGACCATAAACTGATAGGTCGATTTGATAAGTTTTTAAACGGTAAATAAGTCCCACAAATAAATAGCTCTGTAAGTGTCCGACATTAGATGCTGACCACATTAGTTTGAATGGACTCACCACGTTGAATGCGCTCAGTTATGCATCCACACCAGAACACGAGTGGGAACGCCGTGCTCAACATCCCCTGAAATCGGTAGCCAGATTAGATCAGTCGATCCACGATATATTGATTGATTATCAAATATATCTTTGAACTTCCTAGCTTCCGTCTTTTGATTTCACTTGGTGGATACGATGCATAGTAGAAGGTGTTACTGGTTAAAGTGTTGTCCAACTCCAAATACCTGTGGCATCTTCAGGTTTATCAATATGGGTATGAATATGATATTAAAACTATACCATCGTACAGAGATCTTTAGTTTCAATACCAAGAATCTCATAGAGTTAACCTGAAGATTTTCTCATTAAATTATCACTGATTTCAATTTATTGTAAATTAATGTGGAAAATAAGACACACTGTTTCTCTTTATTTTTATTTATAAGATGAACTACTGTTTTAAATATAAGTAGCCTACATTTTAACTGATATTTTTTTCCAGTAAAACCTACGAAGAAATAGAGAGTGCATCAACATACTATTGGAATTATCAAAGATATCAAATGATCAATGATTATGTTCATAGATCACCACTTGCTCCACCAATTATTATTGTTTGGCATTTCTATGAAGCATATAAAGCGCAAGTTTAAGAAATGCTGAAACAGCAAAATATAATCCATTTTGTAAATCAATCTGTTTATTTTTTTTAACAATACTGGTTATCAATGTAAATTATGATACTTATTTATGTGTAGCTTTGAATTGTCATGTGAATTCGATGTATATGATCCCTTTATTCATTAAGTCAGTATGTATTTTAACTGGTTCTTAACAGTTACAAGATGATAGCTCGTTTACGTAGAAGCCTATTTAGAATGAGATCGTTTGTTTGTCGACACACATCCATTACAAAAGAAATCTGGTTACATGTCTAATGTGTAGAGCAAAAATAATCTGCTCAATGGATGCTTTAAATGAGTAGTAGTTTATCAGTAGCATACTGATGGAGATGACCTGCTTGAGATGCTTTTTAAAGAAATATGCGTAAACATGAAAAAAACCAAGTTTCAGATGTTGACCGCTAATAACAAAGTTCTATTTCTCCAAACTATAATTCAACGAGTATTCGGTTAGCGACATTGTCTATGATCATTTCGAGTGATGTATTATATACCTTCGTCATTTTCAATCTCCTACATATAGCAGAAGTGATGAGGTTCAGAATCTATGATCCTAAGTTTTTGAATTCAGAAGAAATTCATGAAAGTTCTGTCCCTTCGTTGGACGGTTATAAATTAATAATCTGTTTTGTTAGGATTTTTTCACATTCTCTATTTGTTTGTTGTCTTCCATCCCATTTGGGGGAATCGGTACCTATAACTTGATTATTCTTTACACATTGATATGCTTATCTCACATTTGTTTTACTTATTAAGGTGTACGATTTACCGATGTGAAAAAAGAAAGGGAAACGGTCAAATGGGAGCATATGAAAGCTATGGATTATTTAAGAGAACCATCAACCAAAGCAACTGGGAAAAGAGGTGTAGCTGAATCACGTGCTGTCGTATTTCGTGGTGGTGGAGGTGTTGGTCCTGGTCAAGGACCAGTAATGGATTTAAAAAGTGAAATGTCCAGTGTTACAGAGGTAATATTAATACTATTCAATGATAATCTAAATTTGTCTAGAATATCAGTGAACAACATGAACGTATGTTGACTAGTTGAAATGAAATCAGGGATATTTTAAACATAATACCAGTATGCTTGACAATATAACTAGAGTGTCCCAGTATATGCTATTCCATTTTAGAGGATTTAATAAAAGCAAACAATTTTATTAGCTTAAAACCAGTTAAACCTCCAGTTTTGTCACATATTACATTAGTCTACTATGGTGACTTGTATTCACTTGCGATACATAGTTAAGTAATTCAACTTATTTGTAGTCTTTATTAAACTGCTATGCTTCTGTAAATGATGCTTCGTCTGAGACAGATGATGTAACTATAAAGCTTTAGTTAACTTCCTGTCAGAAATGACAGAAATCTCTGAGCCTTCTTCTTGTAACCCTAGTTTTGATCATTATGATCATGGTGTTTGTACAAGTTTTCTATTTTGAATGTAAGTTCAGATAACACTTATAGGCATAGAACATTGGATACTTCTTGTTTTTCATAATTGCAAACTACTCATCAATGCTGACACACAAAATCGGACTATAGACTTATTAATATTATGACTAATTAGATGTTTGTTAACAGCTATTGCAGTATCCAATGGTTTATACTTCAACTTCTGCTAATTCACGATCCAATGCCATAACTAATCTATGTCATTAGTGAATAAATAGCTCATTCTTAATACAGTTAGTTATATTACATAAGGAATAATATCATAATGGGGCTTTGAGAAATCTATCTTAAACTAGCGATTAGTAAGCGCATCATTGTTAACAAGGTAGGCGAAAGGTGGTTGGCCTCTTTTATAATTGATTGGGTTCTTCTCTTCCGATAATAACATTATCATTGTTTTTTTCCTTGTATTATTCTATTTCTCCCAGGGTATTGGAATGGAGTTAGAAAAACGTTTCAAAGAGATTGATAATCAATTTCAACGTTTTAATGATGTTGATTCACGTTTGAATGATGTAACACAATTATTAACAAATTTATCTGAAGTAATCAGTAATGTGACTGAAACACAACAACGAGTAAGTTGACAATAGTTAGCTGTTATAACTTGTGAACCTGTGTGTTCTGTTTATTGTATAACGCAATGATACCGCCAATCAGAGAGCAGCGAATTGTCGATCGAACCAGTGACGCATGAAACACGTGCGAGCAGCCTAGAGTCCTAGTCTAGCACAGTCAGTTAAGTCCAGAACACCAATCTCAGCCTCTGCGATATGAATCATTCATTATTCTTATCGGGATATAACATTACCTTTCATTATTCTTCTGAACAAGATTGTACTGATGATGTTACTCAGAGGAAGAATAATCAAAACTTCAGGACCAAAGTGTCTACCTCCGTGAATAAAACTCCACTTAAATGGTTAAAGCACAAGTGGGAACAATCACGTGTATTTTAAGAAAACATTACAGAATATCTAGTAGAATCTGGTAATCATACTTCAATTAGTTGTCTCAAACTTGATTGTTCCTTTGTTTCTACATCAGACATTCACTGCTCTCGTTCTCATTTCTTTGAACTTCTTAACTTTCTGCCACCAGGCATTTCACTTTTGATTGGTCAAACATACTACTTATATCTGTCGATATCAATAGCACATATCACAGTAGTAGTGCTGAAGTATTTTTTTTGAACTAGTGTTATTCACAGTAACTAATACTTAGCGAAAGACATAAAGTTGGAGAATAAATAAAAACTGTAAATAGTTCTACAACAAACAAAGTGGGATGATACTTATTTTCATGCAAATACAAACATTTATTAACCGTTAAAATGCATGATATATTGTCACATGATATATTTGCGCCACATAATTTACTTGATTTATGTGTGAGCTGTGATACTACCCGGGTGCCCAGACCGAAGCAGGTGGTTTTCTTAGGGGGTCAGACGCGGAGCTTTCGACCTAAAAGTCTGCTCCACAAGACAGTGGAGCAACATCAGAAGATGCAGTCCCATAATAGCCGGTGACCAATAATTGGTTCATACGCCATTTGTTCCCTCAGGATCGCGTAGCCCATGTGAACCATTTGTTTTGAATTAGAGTTTCCCAACTCTTCTAGGTGGATCCTCCATAATCATCATTGGAGAGTAGTTAATCTAACATAACCGTCACTGTGACTACAAGCCCACATGTAGATAACGATGGTTTCGATGACAGCTTATCACTATTACACAGAGATGATAAATGATTGAGACGTATTTAATGAAATAATACTATTATCTCGATGGATTTTTTTAACAAACTGAGTTCTGTATCATTTTCTAGATTATTCGACAAATAAATGAACTTCCTACTTGTCAATGTAATGAATTCACTGATGAGGTTGTTCCTGTACAAAAATCCACCACAACTCAAGCTGATTCAGGAACAGCAGAAACTAGAAAACGTACAAAACTAGAAGTAGCTATTCAATCTGCATTAGAAGCAGCTAAAGATGTACTACGACCACCAACACCACCACCACCACCGCCACCACCTCCTCCACCCCCAAGGTGAGTGTGTTTTTATGTACATGTATATGACTTTATTGAATTAAGACTATTTAATCAAATGTAGGAATGAATTTTGCGCTAAAATCCAAGATCTATCGTCGCCAATCTGATTGGTTCGTCAATAAATTATAGTCTTGCTAATAAAACCAGAACAAAAATTTCATTTGTTTGTGTCTTTATTAGTAAACAAGTTGATAATAGATGATAATTCATTCACTCTATTAAAGACTAACAAAAAAAAATCATGAGGAGTGTCACTTGAAGTCATTGTATCTGTTGTAATGAACACTTGCCTGACACCGGTCTTTACTTCTAACGGGTCTGTCAGCTGTCCTCCATTCAAGATTTTGCAGCTTAATTCATCATAGGAATTCCGTATGATATTGACTATTTTCTCAGGCACGCTGTAGTGTTGAAAAGCCTCCATAATATTGCCCTGTCCACGCTATCAAATGCTTTCTCGTAGTCGAAGAATTCGATGTAGAATGATGAATTTCTATTAATTGATTGTTCCACAATGATCTGTAGTGTTGCGATTTGGTCTGTACACAATCGATCTTTAAGGAATCCTGTTTGTTGGTCTTGAAGTTGGGCGTCTTGAGTACAAAAGGATTAATTTATTCACAACTTAGGGCAATCCAGTAACTGGTGTGATCATATGACTAGCTATATCTCATTTATCGTCCATAAAACCAGCCAAATACTGATCAATTAATACGGTAAAAAACAGATTAGTTTTTAGGCTAACCCTAGTCAACCAAGGCTGACTTTTATTTCAGTTTATATCATGTATTAAATATTTAACATATTCTGTAATTTCTTCAGGGAATCACCTGTTCTATTAGCTGCTGTTGTTCCTGGATCCGAAGATGATTCAAGTGGTTCAGAAGAAGGTGGTGATCCTTCAGCCGATCCAGTCATAGTACCTCAAGTTCCAGATATTAAAACTGGAAGAGTTATCGAAAGAACATTAGGTGATCATCGATTATGGGGAATGGCTCCATTTAATTTTGAAAAATATCCTGGAATGAGAATGAATGTACCACCGGAACGAATGGCATGGACTGTAAGTATTTCACTAGATGAATAGTTACTTTCATTTGATTATACTAAACACATGATGTTTAACTTTTAAACTTAATCAATTCATTTGACGAAAAGTATTTTGAAAAGTTTCGAATCATAAGCAAACATGGACAGTGGCTATCAGTGGAATCCAAGACGCACGTTTTGTCCTACTTAGGACTCGTTAGCAAAAGCAGGTAGCTATCAAGACCCAATAGCTGGGTGGATAACGAGATGGTGTTTGAAGCAAACGGTACTGGGTTCGAGTCCCAGAGTGGATATCAACTCTGAGATGCAGGTACATTTAACTGACGAGTTCCAAATAGGACGAAGTGACGCACTTCAAACTAGATTTCACTGCTAACCACTATAAAGCTTGTGAATTAAGGCAATATAGAGGCAATACTTACAGTATGCACATATGCCAATAAGAGACTGATTATTTACAGTCCTAAATAACAATGGGAAGATACAAGTAAAACAACACCAAATGATTTTCGAATTATATTTCACATTTCCCATGGAATCACAGTTTACTTATTATGATGACTGTATTCACTTATTATATGGTCATATTTTGGTTACTTTGAGGACATTTTTTTAAATCCTTGTTTATTATGGGATATGAATGAATGCTCATCGTGTATATTAACTGGATAAGTGGTAGATCTTTTAATAGAACGTTAGATTTGGTTCCCTAATCTCTTCTAGCAACCTTCAGACTTAATGTAAACCACAATCTGAACACAAGAGAAAAGGTGTGAGGACGTTTCTGTATCTCCCCAACAATACTAAGTGTTTATTTTTTTCACGACCATTTGTCACTACTAATTGTGAATGCGCATTACTTACTAAGAAGTACAAACATACATACAAATGTAACCGCTTCATGCTATTTCAGTCTCAGTGAAGCTTAAATTTATTTCTTAATTGTGGTTATAAAAGTTCAACTAATTACTGATTTAAAACCCAGTTTCAATGTAAAGTCCTTCTTTAACTCCCTACTGGGTGGTAGGCAGGGTTCGGAATCGAATGATTTGAATACTTTTGAAAATGTATGATCTGTGAGATTTATTGGATCTTCTATGATATCATTCATGTAAATAAACTCACTATAATTAAAAGGACAGTCTATTAAGTCTCTTCTTAGACTAAACATAATCCATGAATATCAGATGGATTTCGTAGATATTATAATAATTTCAATAATTAAGATCATGAACCGATTGATGTTAGGCCATCATGAAAAACCTGGAAGTACTGAACGGCCGTTTCGTCCTATTGTGGGACTCCTCAGCAGTGCGCATCCACGGTCCCGCTCGCGGGATTCATGGATTGGTTGAGGTTAGACACGAGAAAACCCACATGTCGATAAATATATATATATCATTTTGACTACTTATAAGTAGTTTGGACCACATCCTCTATAGTTCAGAAGTGAGAGTGAATAAACAAATAGAATCACTATCACTGAGGAATATGTTGATTCCCAATAGGGTTTCAAATGAAGTACAAACCTGTTGTTCAAAAAAGTAAGTTTTGGGATAGGGGCAATAAAACTTCAGAAGAACTGACTACTCGAGCCTCAAAACATTTACCACCATGCCTTGATCACAAAAGCCGCAGCAAATATTAATAATAATCTTAATCAAAAGTACAAAACTTGTCTCATCAGGCGTTTCCCAGCATTAATTCTCTCTAGAACGTAATACGTTTGTTCGAAAATAAACTACCATCTTCTAACAGCCAGTAAATGCAACCCAACTTAAATCAAGGTGAATTATTCACAAGATTAGTTCATCATATATGGCACATGCCCCTTAAAGTATATTCTAGGAAGCAACTATGCTAGAAACTGAGGTTTATCTCCTCGAGTTTTTCAGGAATTAGAACAGCATTTAGTCGTAAGTCATTCATAAAATGAATGCGACGCTGATAAGTTATAACTAGGCGAATTTTGAGATTTAATAGACATGTAGCGGTAAATATATCCCCAAAATAAATAGATCCGTAAGTTTTCGACATTGGATGCTGGCCACATTAGCTTCACTGGACTCACCTAGCTGAAGGCGTTCGGTCATGCATCCGAACCAGATCACGAGTGGGAACGCCATATTCAACAACCCATGCAATCCCCAGCCAGATTAGATCAGACGATTCTCGATATATTGATAACTTCTCAAATATATCTTAGAACCTCCTTGCTTCTGTCTTTTGATTTCACTTGGTGGATACGATTCATATTAGAAGATGTTACGGAATAAAGCGTTGTCAAACTCCGAATAAATGTGGCATCTTCAGACAAATGTATGAATCTGCTCAATACGTAGGTCCTTCCAACCTAATGTATCACTAGCGCGATGTTTGAGAGGCATTTTTATACATTCAAATGTGAACTATTGCTTAAAGATCGGTTTGTAACAACGTCTATAGTGACAATAAGGAGTAAAGTAATTGAATGAGTCTATCAATCATCTTGTATACTTTTCAATTTCCCGTCCATGATCAGTGAAATAAACAGAGTGATAATAATAGGTGTGTAATTATCAGCATTCACTCTGTCCATGGTAATATAATCAGCTACATAATCAAACAATATAAGACAAATTCAGCTAGAAGTGCATTTCAAATTAGGACAGATCTTAATGAGAAATATTGAAATCATACCAGTGTGTTCATAAACAATTCACGATAAACTTACTAACTAACCAATTTATTACTTACTTACTTACTTACGCCTGTTACTCCTCATGAAGGAGCATAGGCCGCTCACCAGCATTCTCCATCCAAACCTGTCCTGGGCAATCCTTTCTAGCTCCGTCCAGTTGTAATCCATCGTTTTCATATCTGCTTCTATTATCCGACGCAATGTGTTCTTTGACCTTCCTCTTTTCCGCTTCCCTTCAGGATTTCCAAGTTAGGGCTTGCCTCGTGATGTAGTTTGATGATTTGCGTAATGTATATCCTATCCTTTTCCATCGTCTTTTCCTAATTTCTTCTTCATCTGGAAGTTGGTTTGTTCTCTCCCACAGAAGGCTGTTGCTGATGGTATCCGGCCAATGGATGTTGAGTATCTTGCGTAGACAACCATTTATAAATACTTGTACATTCTTGATGGTGGTCGTTGTAGTTCTCCAAGTTTCAGCTCCATACATACAGTAGAACTGCCTCGACGTTCGTATTGAAGATTCTCACTTTGATATTGATTGAAAGTTGTTTCGGGTTCCATATATTCTTCAAATGTAGGAATGCTGTCCTTGCTTTACCAATCTTCGCCTTTACGTCTGCATGTGAACCTATTTGTTCATCGATGATGCTTCCCAGGTATGTGAAGGATTCGACATCTTCCAAAGTTTCGTCATCAAGAGTGATTGGATTGCTATTCTCCGTTTTGATTTTGAGGACCTTGGTTCTCCCTTTGTGTATGCTAATTCACGATAAACACTTGATGGGAAAGCGAGATCTTACACAATATACAAATGCATTTATCATATTTCACATGTTCTATTCACAACTTAGTTACATGAAACCAAATAAACATGATCTTTCTCATGTCCTTAAAGTCTAACAATATGAATGTGTATTGCTTATTAAAGTACATGTACTATTATAAATGATAATATTCCTACTAGTATAACATTAGTTTCTAAGAAGAATGAAAGTTTAGTTGAAAGTGAGAACATTGTTTAGTTTCATGGACATTAGTACATATGTACACTTTTTATGTGTCCTCTATTCACTATCTTTTTTGTGATTTGTCATTAGACATAATCACTGAGCATATAAATATTCCTTACAAACATTGGTAGTATAGAATTTGATAACATAACAAATACCATAGAAAATGGTTCAGTATACTGATTTAACTAAACTACAATTAGTTTAATTATTGAAGTTGTATATCGTGATCTACATCATGTCTACTCTCATATTCCATTTAGTGGAGAGTCGAAAGATAATTCTGCAAGCGAAACCAAGTGAGTAGACCACCGTCTAGTGTTTTCAACTTTTCCATGATGTTCTAAACGGTATTCAATTGATATATGATCTCAACTATTGAAATGTTTATAATACTGATATATTTTCTTTGTTTTATTCAGGATACAGTCACTCTTTTATTGGCAAATGAAGATTTTACTGCAGTCAATGAAGATGATCGATGTGATGCATATTTTGTCCGTATTCCATTATTACATAGACATTATACTTACTTATTGTCGAATAAATATAAAAAGTTATGCCTGTTATGTGAAAATACAATAAATATAACTGATATCATTCATTAATTGTAACTATCATACTATTCCAGTGAATTTCAAGATGGAATTACTGCTCAATGTTAACTCGTCGCCATTTCACTTTCCATCACTTCGTTCATATAGAATTAGCAAGATAGTTTGTAGAATTATGATCCACTATGACACTGGTACTGCTTCAATAATAGACCTGATTGTAAAATCGTGAATTTGCAATGATGTATCTGCCTAATCTATAAGATCTTATATGTAACTCAAATCATTGTCTACACCAACTCATTGCATCGTAACAATCACCACTATATGATAGAGAACAAACTTAGGCTAGAGAGATAGAACAAGATATTTAATATGAATAAGAGAATATGTTACAACACTTAAGGTTGGCCACACCTGCAAGGCTGAGCCATGCCGTCCGATCAATTCGAATTCGTTCTATTCATTCTTCTCTTCTCCATAGTTAGGTTTTTCTCCATGTTAATATCCATGTTGAATATCTATTTGCCATATTGTCTCGTGTTAGGGCCCAATGTCACTACGAGTCCAACATACAAGTTCATTCAACTATATCCAACTATGTGAAATGTGTTTGGATCGAAATATAAGAGTCCTTATTCAATAAACATTCGTTGAACTACACTCAACTCAGTTAAATTTCATTGAACTGATTTATAGATTGAGTAGGTCAAAGTATGGAAATGCAACTCACATGAAACTTTGTCAAGATAGAAATGAACAAATTCACCATGTTTGTGTTTATCCCATGTACTTCACGTAATTGAATCCTGTTAAGAACTTTGAATTGTTCACGTTCAACTGACTGGTGTTGAATGAAGAGGAATTAAGTTTAGGCAAAATGAAGAGATTTTAGTGGAGGAAGCGTTTTTCACGTGTGACTCATTCGTGAAAGCCATACAATCATAATAAGAGTTGTTCTATGCATAAGAGTCTATCAAGCATTGGTGATATTTGTCTAAGTAAATAAAGAAGTAAGCAGAAGATAGCAAGAATCAGTTGTTTGTCCGGCAGTCGACATATGAATAATGTGTTAAAGGCATTCAAGACATTTTTTAATGGCATTACCAATTAAAAATCTTACTTATTCTTCATATAATCATCATCTCTTAGCAGTCTAATTAACACTGTGAAGCATATATTTACTTACTTTGCTTACCTTCATCATATAACTAAAATAATAATCTGAGTTTAGCATTGTGTTTGTTCAGATAGTTGATGGACGAAGTTGTGATCAGCTTCCCTGAAGAATTTGGTGATGTGATCTTCACGTCGGATGAGTCAGTTGTATCTCCCGATGCGTTTTACTTTGAGTACACATATGGTCAACTGTTCGGTATTAACTGCTTTCTTATTTCTAACGGTTATATGATTCATCAATTTCATATAACTTCCATTCCTTTCAACATACTCATGCGATTCACAACATGGAGGCAAATCGAAATCTTCGTTTTACCATAATATGATTGAAATCACATGTTGTAGATTGAATATACAATGGTGTTTTTGATAAGTCAAGTGTGATCTTACAATTCAACATTTGACAAATTAGCAAAGTTCAACATTGAATTTGAGATGGGCACTGATTGACTGACTTACTATCTTGAATCAAGATGTAAGATTAAGTACAAACATCATAACAAAAGTCAATTACTAATGATCCAACGTACTCTGATAACTTTATTAAATAAATCCCGGCCGTGTAAGAAATTAGGAGACAATATTAAGAGCTCAGCATAGTTTATTACTGGATATTTCAGATAACAATGCGACAAGCGCAAAGTGAATTCAAAAAGAAAGACTAATGAGCGCGAGTAAGTGAATAATAGTGTAGAATTTTGATTTGGATTAATTAATATGATTCAAGAACATATATGGGATACCGACTGAGTCACAGAGAGATATTTAAGCGACAGTCAGTCAGTCACTCAGCTACAACGTAGGACCAGGTACATATATGCAACGGTCCAAGTTGCCATAGAGCATTAGCACAGCAAGATAAACACCGGATTCATAAAATTAGTTAATTCAATGGTGGTAATATATAAAAGAAAGATTGAATATAAGGATATAATACAGGAAGAGAGAATTAGTTCGTAGAAAGAAAGATATGAAGTGATTTTAATCTCTTAGTTTAAGGGAAGACAGAGAGTGCATACACTGACGCCATTGTGATCGATTCTGAGCCATGTCACCAAAAATCTCCAACCATTGGCTACGATAATCACACGGACCCCAACCAAGTAGTCTGCATCTATCAACATGGTTTAGACTAGAAATTAGTGACTTCATGAACTGATGCCATGTTTTTGGTTTGTCCACCCCTAACTTTCTTCCAACCATCTCCAATACCGGATAGCATTACACGTCGTGGTAATCGATGTTTAGGCATACGTAACACGTGGCCCAACCATCTCAGTCGATGAAGATTCATAACCTCATCAACTGATTTACCATCATTCTCTAATACCCTGCGTCTAACCTCACTATTACTTACCCGGTGATTCCAGCAGACGCCAGCAATATTTCTAAGGCTTCTATGGTCAAACGCTAGTAGTTTACGAGTATCTCCTACTCTTAATGGCTAGGTTTCTCTGCCGTAAATTAAAACAGAACGGACTGCCGCGCACCCGACCGTTGTTGCTACCTTGACGTGGTGGTTGGGCTTGCCTATCGTAATGAAGCAACCGAGCTATAATGGCTGGAACAACCGTTCCTCAAGGTCCTAGCATGTCAGACAGGTCGGTTGAAGAGCGGTAAGACTAAAAGCAACAAACCCAAGGTCCGAAGGCGAAGTCGTACTGCTGATTGTACAGAGGTGTGTTTCCTTCACACAACCGGTATGACAGCGATTCTGCCTTCCCCAAAGGAGGGGTGGGGTTAGAAAAGGTCGACTTTAAAAATGCACACCTCACCTTATCCCACGGATATCCGTCTCCGGCGGTAAGGTCTCAACAAGTACGGAGCTAACATAAAAATTACCCATAAAAGGGTCGTGTGTGACCGACCTCAAGAAGTTGTCTCTTTGGCATTGCCGTCACACTCTCAGGTCACTAAGACCACCTCTAATCCAATTTCCTTTTCAGGTACCTTCAGAAGAACCCTTCCACGGTGTGGGCAACCGGGAAGTGATAACCGCCTTCATATCTCTAACAGCGCTCAAGACCACTGTATTCATAATCAACCTTCCACTTCAATTCCTAGATTTAAGCAATTATCATTTAGGAAAGAATACGGAATATGTGTACAGGATATTACATATGATCAAGTATGAATTTTCATACAGACATCATTTTAATAATAATAGTAATGAGTTGGTTGAAGTTAAACATTAACACCATTGGCTGTTGACTTAGTGATGAATCCTGGGTTCGAATCCCGTGAGGCGGGATTGTGGATGCGCAATGTTGAGGAACCCCATGCTAGGACAAAACGGCCATCTAGTGCTTCCAGGTTTTCTATGATGGTCTCGCTTCAATTGACTCATGAATTCAACTATTAAAACTGAATATTATTCTCTTGAACATTCTGTACATGATTTATTTAGAAAGCTTTAAATAACATTCCTGTATTTATAGGATCATTTATATGCTGCACTTGGTAATTATCTTACATCCTTTATGATTTTGTATATATTGCAATTTAGGTTTGATTAAAGATGGAACAACTATTAGCTGAATAACTTGGTTGTAATATTTGTTTATGTAATGATGCATATTACAATATCTTATGTATGATGGTGAGTATGAGTAATACGAAACTTTCAACTGGAAGAAACATAAATCCACTTGCTATTGTTCACTTGTATCTGCTCATTTTTGTTAAGGTCCACAATTGATAAGTCTCTCGTTGGTATATGTTCATTATATGTGGACTGCCTCGATATTGCCTTCAGTCACAAGTTTTATAAAAAAAGATGGATGGTGGCTAGCAATGGAATCCAGTTTGACGTGAGACACTTAGTCCTACTTGGGACTCATCAGTTGGATGTACTTGCATCTCAGAGTGAACATCAACTCTAGGATTCAGGTACATCCAGTTGACAAGTTGGAGAGATCCTGTCATATTACTATTGCCGGTATAATTTTTATACAGGATCAATGGAAGATATTTTGTGTAGCTTAAGTATCCTTTGACACAAGTTGAGATTTCATAAGGATTCTATACAACATATAATACAACCCAATCTGTAAACACAGATCTGTGTATATGTTTGTAGTGACCTACTTTTATCAAGAGAACGCGATTGGTTCAATAAAAACAATTATTAATATAACCAATTGTACCAGTGATTGTTTTACTGTACTTGTTTGTTTAACTGTACTAAAGACATTCTTCCTTCCGTTGATTGTGACCTTGCACAAACTTACGTTTGATCAGTGATTCCGCTTGTACTCCTTTGGCACGATCTCAGTATTATTTCGATACCACGAGATCGTCAACAAATATATCTCGCTACAACCTTTAATCGCGTTTTGATATCTGGTACGCAATCGTCTTGTAGTGGTGGTCGTATTCAACCGCGACTCGACGCCACGCTACATGTTAACCAGATATTTTCCTCAATATACTTAATTGAACTTGTTATTTCAAGACAGATAATTAAATCGTATGATATCACTTAACATATTGACGTCTAAACTTATTTGGAAAAATAAACCATATGCTTATCCCCTTGATTAAACTGTAGAAGCACATTGTTAAACATGTAAGCGTAAAGATGTAGACTTGTTAAATATTGTTGGTGAAATGTCTGTCAATGATTCAAAGACATAAAGTGACTTGAATAAACTGTGGCTACTGCTGGTCCCAAGCCTGGATAAAGGAGAAGGGTTGGGTATGGGGTTGGCGACCCCATTCCGTAGAAAAGTAACTCGCTAAAAAAACGCTAACCGGAAAAAATAATTCAAACTAATACTGTTCGAGTGTACCGTCATTATTAAGGGTATGCTTGAAATCAACAATTAAGTTTCATCACATCTTTCAGAAGCAGTGAAATCCCTTAACCTTCCGCT